CTCCCTGGAACTCGCTGCTGAAGCGCGGACGAGGGCTGAGTCACGTGGGGGTCAAGACCACAGGTGCCACCTGGCCCCCGTCAGGGTTGGACTGTGGACCCCTGCCACATACACACATGGACTGGCCTTGCCCTCAGCGAGTCCCGGGAAGGAGAATGGATGGAGGTGGCTCCGTGGCTCTGTCCGTGGTGCTGAACTCACCTCCGCCCACTCCCCATCTCCTTCTCCAGCCCAGCAGCAATTCAGAACCTCCTGGGGAGCCATATAAAAATGCAGACTCCCTGGCCCCTTCTTTGGAGACTTGGGTTCTGAGGGTCTAATATAGAGCCCTGAAATCTGTCATTACCAAATATCCGAGCACCTGTGATTCTATCCAGCCAGCTTGGTACTGGCCTGAGTTTGAACACTGAGCTCGATAACCGGTTGGTCTTCACGGACTGCCTGCTCTGTGCCCCGCGCTGTGCTGGATGCCGTGAGGCACAGAACCGCATTGAGGAGGGTCTCTGCTCGGGGGGTAATTTATGAAGTCATTCAGGGGGAGATGTAGAGAGAGAAGGAGGGAGAATGCCCCTTCTGTTTTGTGTGAACACAGTGTCAAGCGCACACCTTTGCCTTTATCCTGCAAGATAAGTACGCTTGTGAAAATAGTGGTAATCGTAACCACAGCTAATATTTGTATCTCTCCTTGGGGTCTCCACTGCCCTATCTGCAAGGCAGGGCGTGGTGCCTCCTGCTCCTTCAGACCTCATGGCCTAAGACCCAGGTCCAACACATCAGGCGTCCCTGACCCCTGCTGCCCTACACACCCCCAGAATGCAGTCCTCCCTGCCTGTGCCCTACAGTTGCATTTTATTATTGTTTACATGATATGCCTGTTTCCAATAATGTCCCAACTGGGATTTGAGCTCCCTATTGAGGGCAGGGCTTGCACCTGATTGCCCTGTGTAGCATCCGAGGTGAGAGTAAATTCGTATTGGAGGACGGAGTGGGGACAGTGGGCAGGAGGGCAGAGGAATGTGCCTGGGGAAAGTGCTAGTGGGTTACAAAGCAGCTGGGACCAAGTGCTCAGAACCAAAAGAAATCGGGGTGGGCCTCAGGGAAACCAGGCAACAGGCCAAATGCGAACCAGGCAGGGCAGCATCCATCAAAGTCTGCCTCTCCCTCTCCGGGTGTTTGGGGACAACAGGAAGTGCAGCCAGGACAGCTGTGCCTGATGAAAACAGATGTTCTCCGGGCCTAAATGTGGGGCATGGAGGACAGGGCAGGGGAGGGGAGAGGAGGGCCACAGCCAGCGAAATGAAATGGCACAGACCCTCTTTTATTTATTTAATCTTACTTTTTATTATGGCAAGTTTCAAATGCCCACAGTAGTAGAGCGAAGAGCAGGAGGGACTCCCGTGCGCCATCACCCAGCCCCGACGACCACCCCCGCCTGGCCCTTCTCACGTCACTCCTCCCCTCAAGCTCCTTTTTAACAAAAACTCCAGAATCAGATCGTTCCACCCACAAATACTGCAGAATGTATCACTCACGCATTAGAACATTACTAAAAATAAGCTCAATATTATTATCACACCTAATAAAGTGAACAACTCTTTAGTGTCATCTATTATGCAGTCCATGTTCAAATTTTCTCATTTTCCTCAAAAATGGCTTGCTACAGTTCACGTATTTTCATCAGGACCTGAACAAGGCCCATGCGTTGCAATGCGGCGTTGTGTCCCTTAAATCCCTTTTAATCTCTAACAGTTCTTTCTCCCGTCCCTTTTTATGCCATTTTACTTGTTGAAGAAACCAGGTCCTTGGTCCCGTAGAGTGTTCCTCATTGTTGGCCACCTCGTGCGGCGGATCGAGCCCTCGTGGTGTCATTTAACAAGTGGCACTGTCCTCTTGTTTCCGGTAAACTGGTCTTTACATCCGAGGCTTGATCTGACGTAGGGCCAGTGATCCGGAGAAGGAGACTTCCTGGGCGAGGCTGTGACCTTCCTGCTGCATCACATCTAGAGCACCCGGGGTCAGGGTTTCCCTTTTTGAGTGATACTAAGAATGACCAACGGGTTCTGGTGCCACCAGCCTGATCCCTCCATTATGAAGCCCTAACCCCTTGCCCCAGCGGTTTTAGCACCTTTCATAGACTCTTAAAACGCTGCCAGAGCTGGAAGAGATCCGAGAAGCCCATTCACTCATTTTTCTATTCGTCCCTCAAATATTTACTGAGCATCTACTATGTCAGGTCACGAGCTGCAGTGAACAGAAGCAACAGCATCCTGGGATCGTGGAGCCAATAGGCAGGTGGTGATAGCAACAAGACGTACCTGAGAGACATGTCTGCGAGGGTGAGGGGCACGCGGAGAGTCACTGCGAAGGGCGATGATTGACGGCCGCCAGGTGACTGCTCTGTGGTGTGGGGTGAGGGAGCTCCGTAACAGGGGACATCGGAGCTTGACAAGAACAAGCCAGCCATGCAGGGATGGGGGATGCATTCCAGGGAGAGGGAGGAGCTGGTGCCGGCGGAGAACCTGGCACCTGGCAAGGGCAGGAAGGAGGCCGTTGTGCCCGAGCCAGAGAACAGTGGGGGGGCTGCTGTGATACCAGACCTGGGTGGGGGGTGGAGGGGATGGCCAGCCCAGCACCCCCGCTGCCCCCTCTTCAGCCGAGAACTTGAGCTCAGAGAGGGCAGGGGGATGGTATTGATCAAACAACTACCCCACCTCAGGAGATTTCTGTGTAGCATTTCAAAGCCTCACACCATGCTACATAGGAGTCACTGTGCCCATTTTACAGATGAGGCCAGTACACAGCGAAGTCACCTGCCTAAGGGCACAGCGGGCAGAAGGGTGGAGCCCAGGCCTGGCGAGGCTCTGACACTTCGAGGTCATCCCACAGTGAGACGACCCCTGCAGAGCCAGGCTGCCTCGAACCTGGCTCTGGCACCTAGAAAGTCTGTGACATGGACCAGGGGCTTTCTCCCCCTCTGTGCCTCAGTTTCCTAATCTGTAACATGGGAATAATAATAGTACCTATTTCAACTAGGTGAGGATGAAATAAGCTAATTATGTAAAGCACTTAGAACAGTGCCCGACTCCCGGCATGTACTTGGTGCACACTTATGTTTGCATTAATATTTCTCTTGACATATATACCTTCAGCAGGGCCAAGCTGGATTGCAGGTCACCAGCCTCCCAGTGTGGGGTCCCTCCCGCTCATTGGCTGCACGAGGCCTGGCTCACAGGCGGTGCAGGTGCGTCGGTTCAGTGTTGCTGAGAGGAGAGGAGGCTCACCTGTCCACTCCTCGCGGGCAGTGGGGGCTGGTTGGAGGAGCCGCCGCTGTAGAACATCTCCAGCCTCCTTCTAATGCGTGCCCAGGGCAGGGCTCCCATTCTGTGGTCACTCTTTGTCCCCCTTACCATGGGGCCCACCCTCAGGTGTCCAGCCCAAGGGTCAGTGGCCGACCATAACCCTCAACTTGTCCCATCCACAAGCACCCTAAGCAGGGCAGCCAGGCTCACCAGCCCCAAGCTAAAGGTGAGGAGGCTGAGGGGCAGCTACATGCCCGGGGGCACAGCAAGGCCAAGACAAGGTGGTCCAGCCTTGCCCCCATCCCACTCCCAGCCCCTGCCTCTGGGGCCCAGACGGGTCGCCCCAGCACAGGGCACAGGGAGCTTCAAAACCTCCCGAACAGACACACAAACAGTTAAACCCAGACTCCCTCCTTCCTCCATCCCAATTCTGATCCTTGCTGACTGTGCTCCCCCTCCCTACCCCCAGCTATTCTGGGACAATGGAGGCAGCAGATGGCCCGAGTCCTGTTCCCTCCACCCGACCCTCAGGATCTGGGAACAACCCGAAAATCTGCTGCTGCTTCTAAAAGCAGGGCTACCAGCAGCCTTCCCGGGGCGGGTGGGGCAGACAGCGGCTGCGGATGGCCCCATTCCATCCCCACCGGGCTGCGGGCACGGGCCGCCCTCCCTCGGCTCACATCCCACAGACCCAGCGTTAGGTCAGCCCAGAGAGAACAAAGGCTTGGAAGAGCCCGAGCAGCTGGGCTTGTGCACCTGACTCGCTGTGTGACCACAAACGCACGCAGTCCCTCTCTGGACCTCTCCTCCTCAGAAAACAGGGCCTGGGGTTCAGGTGCTCAGGAGACAGCCCAGACACAGATGTGGCCGGAACAAGGCTTCTGGTCCTTCAAGGGTGGAGGGCGTGCTCCAAAGGAGCCCTGACCACGGCTGCCTGGGTGAGGGACCCTCTAGCCCTCGGGATCTCTCCTCCTTGCCCAGCCCAGAGCCCACCTCGACCCCATCTCCCAGCATCACTGCGCACGATACAGGGTGGGGAGAAGAGACCCCCATCCCCAACCCCCACCCATGTGCCACCATGCCCGAAATTTCACCACGTTCACTTTCATTCATTCGTCCAACCTCCTTGGGATCCAAAATTCTAAGGGCACTTGTATTTATTCAGTACCCGCCTTGGCTGTCAACTTGCCCCTAGGCACTTTGACCTGACACCCAAGGCTGAATCCCTCAGCTCCAAGTCTCCGTTCTGCCTTCCCCGACTCTCTGACCGCCCCCACCCCAGGCCCTGAGGGCACAGAAAAGGAGAAACCATTCCCAGCACCAGCACCTCCTGGCACACACACACTTACGTGTATACATCATGCACATGTATGTGCAACACAGCCATAAATACATGCACGCACCACACATACATCCTCATGCACAGGCTTGTGTAGAAGGGTACATGCTCCCTCCCGAACACACACACACGCACACCCTCACACACCACGACACACTAATGACAGTCACCGTTCACTGGGCCCTTCCATTCTCTGTGCCAGACTCCATGCTGTGCCCTTTAAAAACATTATCTCATGCCACCAAAAGAGACCACCGTCACCACTGTGAGAGAGATCAAAAGCTCTACCCCAGTCAGGAACACTTTGGCTGTATGTAACAGAAAACTGGACCAAGAGAGACTTAAACAAATAAAGGTTTAATTTTCTTACAGAACCAGATGCTGGAGGGGATAGCTATAGATGATTGTCTTGGCTTTTCTTCACAGCAGCAAGGTGGCTGCCCGGGATCCAGCCATCACATCCACATTCACAGCAGGAAGATGGGGTATAGAGCTGCAAAACCTTTCCCCGAAACGGCCCTATGGGCTTTGCTTAGTTCCCTCTGACCATCCCCTGGTCCACCTGGTCCCGTGGGCTGTTCGACTCACCTCCCGGGGGCCTGGGATGCCTTCAGTGCCAGCTACCACCCAGATCCTGGGCTCGCCCACCACCCAGAGGCCCTGCGGGGACTGCCTACCACAGGGCACTTTGCAGGGGCCCTCAGTGCTGCCTGAGGAGGTGGGGAAGAGTCAGAAGCCTCAGCCCAACATTGGCCCAGCAGTTCAGGGTTCATCGGGCAGCCAGCTGTGGACACCAGGGTGTGTCTGGGTAGAGAAGGCAATGGAGGGAGCGAAACCTGCAAAGAGACCAGAAGCAGACAGGACGGTCACCCGCACTCTCCCCTGCCCCCACAGGCTCCTGGGGGCGCATGTCACGGAGACGGTTTGGAGCTGGGTTTCTGCGTATCAGCACTACTAACATTTAGGGCCAGACAATCCTTCGCTGTGGGGCTGGCTGCCTGTGACTTGTAGGGCCCTTAGCACCGTCCCTAAGCTCCACCCACTAGATGCCAGAAGCAACCTCCTGAATCTTAATAATCGGAAATGTCTCCAGACGTTGCCAAATGTCTCCCAGGGGACAAATTGCCCCCGCATGAGAACCGCTGGTCTAGAGAAACTTCCAAAGCCAGAGAAGCCATGAAGAGACCTCAGCCATGGCCAGACCAGCCAACCACACGCATTCGCGTCTCTAATTGGCTCCAGCCCCCTCAGGCAGCAACCTGTGAATTCTGGAATCCTCGGCTTCAGAGGAAATTTAACATCAGTTCTTAAACCTCTTTGCAATTTAGCTACAGCTTATACACTTCCACTGATGGGGAGCTCATCCCATTAGAAGACAGCTTCTTTCATCCTGGAATTTTTAATTTTTTTTCCCTATATTGAGCCAAACTCTGTCCAACTCTGTAACGTCCAACTTGCTCAATGCAGCCTTGGCCCCCAGGTCCCTCTGCCCCAGGACAGGCAGCTCTGTAGAGCCTCAGGGCCAGGAACCCTGGTTCCCCCAAGGGTCGCAGACTTCAGATAAATCCCAAGTCCAGACAGAGCCTACAAAGGCTCCAGGGAGGCCCCCTGCCACCTCCTCACCTGAATCTGACACCACTCTCTCCTCTTCTCCACATTCTGGCTACGCCAGTTTCCTTTCCTTCCTTGAGCAGATCAAGACCTCTCCTGCCACCAGCCTTTGCACATGCTGTTCCCCGTGCCTGGAGCACTCTGCCATCTGTTCTTCTAGTTAACTCCTGCTAGCCCTTCAGGTCCTACGTGTTGTCCTAATGTCACCTCCTCAGGGAGGTGTCTAGCCCCCACGCCCCAGGCAACATCAGGGCTCTCCTTACACTCTCCCATGATAGCCTACACCCCACACTCCCCTTCTTCCCCTACACACCCAGTATCCTGGACTCCTCATCCCCCAGGACCCTCTCTGGACAAGTCTCTGTCGCTCAAGTGGGCCCAGAGCTCACCCTATCCCCTCCCCTACTTGCTGCCTCCCTGAATCCCTGCTCACTCCCTTGAGGGTAGGATCAGGGCTCCTCGCCCACTTCCCAGGCCCTCTGCATGTCACTAACAAGGGGCAGCAGTGGGAGTAGAGGATGGGGGGTGGGGAGCGGACTGACTTCCCAGAGATGGAACAGATTTTCATGGGAGGGAGGAGCTCCCCGTGGTTGGGGGCATTCAAGCAGAAGCCAGCCCACCAGTTGGCAGAGAAGCTGGGAGTGGATCAAGCATCAGTTCTGAGGATGGACTGTTGGGCCAGGAGTCCACGTGCCCGGCCCGCTCCTCCCCACACCACCCCCGCCAGCCACCGCCAGAAGCACAAGCCACAGCTGGCCAGCGGGGGTGTGTGGAAAGGAAGCTGCGTGTCACCGGCTGTGCTCTACACCAATCAGGGGCTGAGTTGAGTGGCACCAGTCTCGTGGCCTATTCTGGGCAGAACTAGAAGGTGCCATTCCATCCCCCCACCCACCTAGAAGAACCATTTGAGAGTGTCAAAGAAACCAAGAGCCTAAAAAAACAAAATCCCCCACAAGTGCCTGCGGTTCCACCAGGAGAACATCTCCTTCGCTCAGTGAAGGCATTTCAGTCCCCCAGGGGCTCCTGGAGAACCCCAGAGGGTCAGGGCTGAGAGAGCCCTGCAGATCCACCATATCTAGACAGAGTCCCAGAGAGGGCAAGACACTTGTCCAAGGTCACACAGCAAGCCAGTGGCAGAGCAGGGACTGAAATCCACCGCCTCCACTCCGAGCTCTGTGCTGTCAGCCACCAGGGCCTGTCCCACTCCTCTGCCACCCAACCCCCATCTCTGGACACCTGGACTCGGCACCCCCTCCTCCCATGCCACAGTTTCCAGCCCCAGACCCACCTGGAGGGGTCCTCCTCAGGGGAGAAGGGGCCCTGGAGCTTAATGACGTTGAGTTTCCCCTCAAAGACACCGTAGCTGAGGGTGACCTGGGCAGGGAGAAACAGAGAAGAGTGTTGGGGGTGTCCTGCTGGGGGTCCCCGCAAGGGAGCAGCATCCTGGCGGGAGAGAGGAGGCACGCGCCTCTACACCTGAGATTCCGTGGCTGCCAGCGGGAGCTGTCTTCTAATGGGTCCCCAGGGAACCCACCCCGCGTGGCAGAGGTACTCTCACGCCCATGATGCCATTCGCTCCTCCGCAGTCAGCTTACCTGGGAGGCCGGCACGACACCCTCAGCCTACAGATCGGGAAACGGAGGCCCAACAGAGAAAGGCACCTTTCCAGTAACGTGTGTGTCTAGACTAGGACTGAGGTTTTCTGACGCTTACTGCAGGGCCCTGGCAAATCCTGAGCCCCTCGTCCCCCGTGCCATGAGGACATGGGATCATGGTTTCAGCTCAGAGGCGGTAGAACACGGCAGGCTTGGGGCCACCCGGCTAGGGTTCCACTGCCCCGTGCCTGCGCCAGCTGTGTGCCTCGGTTCCCCGTCCATAGAATGGGATCATGTCAGTACTGCCCTCACGTGAGTATCGAGTATCATGAGGAACCAGAAAGTTAAAGAAGGTAGGAGACAGGTCATGGGACCAAGCCCGGCCATCAGCCAGGGGGTGCCAGCTCTGGATCTGGGGAAGGAGGAGTCCCCCCCAGTGGTGGGGTGGAAACCTGGGGCCACCGTCTTGCCAGCAGGAGGCGGAGCCTGCCGGAGGATGGAGCCAGCATGGGGGAGAGCAGGCGAGGGAGGGGAGAGGCTGGGATGCCGTCTGAACACCCAGAGCCCGCCAGACCTGGCAAGCCGGGCCCTCGGCTTCTCAGTTCTGTGAGCCAGCTGATGCTCTTTGTTTTCATTTCACCAGTCCACGCTGAGTTTCGGTCACTTGCACCCAAAAGGGTCTGACTCAGGCTGCCGGGCAGAAGATCCCAGGGACCCTGCTAACCAGAACCACCTACAGAGTTGGAGGGTGGCACCTGCGAGGCAGAGCCAGTTTGACCTTTGAGCAGAGCCATTACCTGCCGGGTGGTGGGACGGTCCCGCTCTGTCCCCAGCCTAACACTGTGCCTGAGTGTCCCCGTGGCGGGTCTGTTCCTGCCCAGTAAGGTTACTGGGGGTTGGAAGGCAAAACGTGGAGCAGAGGACGGATACATTGCGGTAAAGGAGGGTGTCCCGATGGGAAGCATCAGGAGGGGCCAGCCTGGCTCCTTAGAGGGGACGTGGGGATCAGGGAAGGCTGGCGAGTGGCGAGAAGGGCGGAGGCAGGGGTGGGGAGGCAGAGGCGTGGGAACCTGCAGACAAGCTTCACCTCGTCTGTGCAGGTCCTTCCGGCCAGCGTTTGGGGACCAGATCGAAGAATTTCAGCCACACCAACGCTAACCCTTGAGGGTTAGAAGTGGAGAGGGCTGAGTCACTGTGTGCCCTTAGAGGGTCCTTTGCCACCTGTGCCTCAGTTTCCCTATCAATAGGGGATAGCCAAGCCCCATTATCTGGAGTTCCAGGTTGCTTTCAAATACCAGGAGGGAGGTGCAGGGGAGACCTCATGTTCTTTGGGGGTCCCTCCCCAGCCCCCTCCCCCATTGCCACCTGCCCCAAGGCCAGCTCACCTGCTCTGGGAGCTCGGCCGCTCTCAGCAGCTGCAGAGTCTCCAGGTGGGAGTGGAAGAGGGGGCTGGGCTGCAGGTGGCCGCCCAGCTTGCACTCGACGATGTAGCCCACGGTGCAGTCATCGGGCAGCCGGATGAGAGCAGACGTGTCCACAAAACGGGAGCCACTGAGGGGCAGAGCTGGACTGTAGCCACCGGCCCAGGCCCTCCCCACCTAGAGCCCCCAGCCGAAGGCCTTCGGCCAGGGCCAGCTGGCAGAGCAGAGTGCTGCCTCCTGTGTGCTGTACGGCCTCGAGCAAGCCATACAGAGAACGGCTTGGAGAACCTCAGTCTCCTCGTCTGTGAAATGGGGACGACAGTGGCGCTGCCTGCACAGGCTGTTTGAGGATTGGTGGAGGAAGGGTGGGTGAGGCCCTTTATAAATGTATCTTTCCTTCTCTCCCTCTCTTGTCACTCATTCATTCCCTCATTTATTCACTGTTGAGCCTGAGAGTCCACCCGGTGCCAGACGCCAGGCTAGGGCTGAGCATACAGAGAAGAGGAAGGAACACTCCCTGCCCTCGACAGCAGCCCCCACGCTGGGCACAGACAGGCGAGCAGGTCACTCAGAGTAAGACTGGTGCTGAGTCAGAGGGACGCACTCGGCCTGGGGGGCATAGGGAGACCAAGGCGGGCTTCCCAGAAGAGGCGGCAGTTTTGAATGGAGCCTCACAGGACAAGCTGGAGTCAGGCAGAGCTGAGGGAGGGGACGAGCAGGTTCCAGGAAGGGCATCACCTGACTGCACCTCATCACTGCCCCTTCCCAGGACGCCCAGCCAAGGGGCGGGCGGGCGCAGAATCCAGCCGCACTCCCTTCCCCAGGCTGCGTGCCCATGAGCCGCACCTGCAGGAGCGGGGGAGCTTTTGCTGATCCACACAGAGGTGACACAGAGTGGGGCATAGCCTGGATGGGCCACCCCAGGCACAGGGATGGCCCTGGTCCTGTGCACCGTGCACACCCGTGGTAGACACACGCCCTGGGACAACATGTCCTCTCCTGCCCCCGCACGGATCCCCCCAGGGGACCCCTCCCAGCCAGGGCAAAGCAGGGCAGGCTTGTGCGGTGACAAAGTGCACAGGCCTTGGAGCCAAACCCGCAGCTGAGTAACCTTGAACCTGGGCGACCTCAGGCGGGCCTCGGTCCTTCAGCTACAGAAACAAGGTGGACACCACCTTCTCCCCCGGGCGCTGCGACCTCTTGGCGAAGCACAGGCCTGGCTCAGAGTCAACCCCCAATACACGGTAGTGGCCACTGATGTTGTTAATAATAGTAATGGCCTGCCCAGGAAGACCTCGAGACGCCAGGCCTTCGCCACGTCCAGAACACCAGTGTCCCACCCCCTTACCTAGGCTTCCCCTGTCCCCCCTGTCCCCTCATCCGGGGCCCTCTAGGGCTGTCCCAGCTCAAATGCCACCTCTTCCCGAAGCCTTCCTCCTGCCCCCAACCAGAGGCCCTTCTCTCTTCTCAGAGAGCCGCCGTGCTTGGCCTTCACTGTCCCGTGGCACGGAACGGTCAGAAGAGGGCTGCAAACGGGGCCCAGTGTTTCCCGGGCTCCTGCCAGGTGCCAGCCTGGACATTTGCTCATTGAACCCTCACGCCACCATTGGCCATTGTAGCACCAGGTCCATTTACAGACGGGAGGCCTGAGGCTCTCGAAGATTGCACGACTTCCTGTGCCTGGCAGCAAGTAACTGGAATGTGCACCCCGAGGGCAGGGTGGCCGGCTCTGCAGCACAGATGAACAGGTGGGGGGGGCAGCTTCTCCTGCGCTCACTCTCAAGCCCGTCCTGCTGCAAAGGCCCCTCACGTAAACCGGCAGCCGCCCCCTCCCCGCCCTCCTGCCCACTTCTGTCTCTGCTTACCTGGCCCACGGGGCCATCTTCAAAGCCAGTTTGCGGTTGATGCAGAAGCCGGCACCCCCGGTGGCGAACCAGAACTGTACCAGCCTCTGGGGGAGAGGAAGGCCAAAGTGCAGAGTGAGTGGGGGTTGCGGGGGTAGGGGTGGTGAGGGGGACCAGCCAGGCCACGCTTCACCCCAACCAACATGGCTCAAGAGCTAGTGTGCATCTCACTAGAGTCTTGCTACAGCCTGGCAATATTATGCCCATTTTACAGGGAAGGAAGCCGAGGCCCAAAGTCACATAGCTAACTATGAGCGGTAAGGTCGCTAATCAGACCCAAGTCCAGCTGGATTCTGGTTAAAGGGACGTGTGCTATTTACCACCCAGCACACCTTACCGTTTCGTTTCCTCTGAGAAATGTCCCTACCTCACTCCACGAGGTTTAGAAGGGGCTGCCAAGCTGCTGCCCCAGGCCACTGAGGTAGGCCTAGGTTGACAGGGCCTGGGTGCGCCCAGTCGGGCACCGAACACGCACAGGAGAGACGTGGCTCAGAAACGAAGGTGACTGAGTCCCCTACCGATCACTGGCTCTTTCTAGTGCCCACGCGTGCCAAGTCCCATTCCAAGGGCTTGGACAGATGACCTCACTTAATTCTTTCTCCCAGGCCCACAACCACCCTGTGCGGAGGGGTTGTTATCACACATTTCACAGAGGAGGAAACCGAGGCACAGAGAGGCTAGGCGACTTCAGTCAAGGTCACAAAGCAGGAGGTGGCAGGACTGGCGCGCTAACCCAGGCAGTCAGGCCCCGGAGTGCGTTTCTCAACCCCAAACGCAAAGCACTTGAGCAGAGGTGAGTGGCGGGGCTGACGCGGTGTGGGAGCGGCAGGCCAGGCTCACCTGGACTCGCTCCCTCGTGCACACAGCCCCGGGGCCCAGAGGATTTAATTAGGGCTCAGAGGCTGGTAAGTGCTGATAATTAAGGCTTTGTGTTTCCTACTCTTGCTTTCCTAGCGGAGCAGATGGTGAGCTGGGGGGGAGGGAGAGCCCCGCGGAGCGCCCGCTCCTGCACCAGGCGCTGCCTCTACACAGGGGACCGGATCTGCCTTTCTCCTGGGACCGGGGGAGCCCCAGGCCTGGGCCGCTGCAACACCTGAAGCCTGGTGGGTCCTGGGGACGGGGAGAGAACCATGCAATGTAGGGGGCATACTTACACTAAAAAATTCTTCATTGTTTATCTGAATGTCACACTTAATTGGGTATCCCAGTTATGGGTTTATTTCTTTTCTAAATCTAGCAACCCTAATCAGTGTCAGTCCGGGTCTGGGACTGAAGCCGGTACTGGGGCCCGTTGTGCCGGGTGTCAGTCCTTCCGTCACTGGTTGGTGGCGAAGTCTAGAGAGAGACAGTGCCAAGGGAGGGAGGGGAGTGCCTTGGGGCTCGCGCAGCAGCAGTTTGTCACCTGGCCCAGCAGTGATCTAGCACTTTAACAACCTGTACAACTACATGGCGACAGCAGGTGGCTAGGAGCCCTGCCACCTGAGACGGGAAGCCTCGGCTCACCTGCGTGCTCACTGTGTGACCAGGAAAAGCCACTGCTCCTGGCGACCGAGGCCTTACCGTGTGCCCCTCTCCGTGCCTTACTTGCATTATCTCAATCTCCCCATTTCACAGAGTAGGAAACCGAGGCCCGGAGGGGAAGCCACCAGCCCAAAGCCACAGAGAAAGGGCCAAATCTGAAACCCAGAACCTGCCTCCCCTCTCCACCACACCCCTGCCCCCCAGGCGGAGCGGCCAATGGGCGAAGGAGGAGGGGAGGGACTGACCGTGCGGTTGCGGGGCTGGGGCTCCACCGCGTGGATGGGCCGGTTCAGGCTGGGCCGGCCCACGTAGACGTCGCGGGTCGGCGGGAAGGCTTTCAGCAGCTGCAGCAGTGCCCTCGGGTTGACATAGTTGTCATCGTCCACGTGGCAGAACCACCTGTGGGATGGAAGGGAGACAGTAAACTTTGCGGGGCGCAGTCCGAGCTAGCCTAGGGCTGCCTGCTAACCAGCCAGGCTCCCCTGCACCCCCACAGTCAGTCGACAGTTACGGATGGGGGTGGCTAACATTTGCGGCATCTGTTTTGTGCCAAGCAGCATGTTGCATGAGCGCGTGAGGAAGGTGTGCTCACTTAGCAAATGAGGACCAGATCCGAGAGGTTAACACACTTGCCCAAAGTCACACAGCCAATGAATGGCAGGATCTGAACCCAGCTGGTCTACTAAGCCCACTGCACACTGCCTGCTAGGTGGGTCATGGCTGGAGTCAGACCCCAGGAGGCCCAGGGCTTATGTTCACTGGGCCTGGACCACTTCATTAATTCAGGAGGTGGCCTGAGGCTAAGGCCACACCTACTCCCAGAGACCCAGGAACACTCACCTAAGCCCACTGGCCAAGAAGGTATCGAACTCCGCAGCCATCTTGCAGGACAGAGCTGGGTGGCTATGCTCCGCAGAGCAGTTGGTGACCACAAGGTGGGACCCTGGAGAAGTGAGGAGTCAGGGGACCTTGTCCTCCTCCCCCTCTGAGCATGCAGAGCCAGGCCCGGTCTCAGAGGGGCCCCCACTCCCATTTTACACACGGAGAAACTGAGGCCCAAAGAGCGAAGACCTGCCCAGGGCCACAGAGCTAGGGGACAGCAGGCTGGCAGGGACCCAGGCGTCCAGGGTCTTACCTAGCACAGCCCCTGCCCACGCCCACACCAGTTTCCAGGGAAGGAGCCTGCTGCCCACCTGGGCTCCCCATGTTTCCCGGGACCCTCAGGCCAGGGCGCAGCCACCCCACTTTCCTTGGCAACAGCCGACAGGCCCCCACCCGACCCAGGCCAGGCAATTACCCAGTCTCTCCTGCAGGCCTTCGTCTGGGCTGTCGGTGAAGACGAACGTCTAGGAAGGAGGATGGAGCAGGACTCGGGTTGGCCAAGGGTAGCCCCAGGCCAATCCTCAGCCCCCCACAGCCAGGCCCCAGATGGCCCTCCTGTCCAGGTGGACACACAGCAGACTTCTGTCCCCTCCGAGTGACAGACACACACCCCTCTCACGGTCACGTGCTCCTTTAGGACAACATACCACACGCACACAGAAACACATACGCAGCCCAGCTTTTGTAGACACACAACTTCAGAGTGTGCACCAGCCCACGGTCTCACACACTCACCCCCTCACAGAGCAGCGTCCACAGGGCCCCGGCCACGGCCACACACCCTGGGCACACTCTGTCCCTCTTCTGTCACACACACGCACCAGTCACACTTGGCCTCTCCACAGTCACATATACACCACCCTAAACCCTCTTTCAGGAAACAACTTTAAGTGAAAAGACCCACATGCCCACACCCTGGGACACCAGGGAGACAGTCATGCTCCCGCGGCCACACAAACCCCCGCACAAGTGCAGGGGCCTTGAGCGTCTCGGAGATGCTGCGTCACGGCCTCCTCCAGCTCTCCCGGGTTGGACACGCACCCCACCAAGAGCCTTTGCATGCCCGGTCCCCAACGGCCCTCTCTGAACCCCATGAGCAGGCGTGGCAATCTGTCCCCTTCACGGATGACAAAATGGAGGCTAAGTGACGGGCCAAGGTTGGCCAGTGCCAAGCTGGGATCCAAGGCCACAGGCCCTGGACCTCTTCTCATCACCTCCCGGGCAGGTGAAAGCTGCTCAACCCCTAAATAAACCAAACCCAGCCCCGGATGAGAGGCAGAGGCAAAAGGCCTTCAGGGGCAGCACAGGAACAAAACGAAGACGTGCGGCCTGGGGACTGGTCTCACGGCCACTCCACGCCCAGCCCAGCCCGTGCACAGCCTCTCGGCTGCCCTGGCGGCTCCTCTTGTCCGCCGAGCACCTCAAAGGCCTTCGAGGGCGCCCTCAGCCCTTGGCCTGCCCTGCCCAGGGCCTGAGACAATTCTGAACCCTTCCAAGTGTCCCACCTGTTTCGAGGCCCCAGACTCCCCCATCCCCGGCAGGTGCCACGCCCGTAGCCTAGCCCTGGCCTCCCTCCCAGGTGAGGGCCTCCAGCTGCAACGCCCCTCCCTGCTCACTCCCAAACCTCTCCCTCCTTTCCAGGAATTAGCCCTTCAGATGAGAACAGCCCCTGCCTCGAGCCTGCCTTTGCCCATCTGTGAAATGAGGGATGGGAAAGGCTGCGAGAGCAACATTGTGTATCAAAGAGCAAGGAAGAGTCAAGAGTGAAGCCAGGCAGCTTCTTGTCCCTCAGAGGAAACTGAGGCACGGGAGGCCAGGAGGTGGAAGTCAGGGTTGGCACAGGAAGGGGAGGAGGCAGCCAATCTTGTCTTCCAGGGCCCACGGCCACAGGCCTGCTTCTGAGCCCCATCACCCTTCAGCGGACTGTGGCAAGATTCTGCTTCGTTCCTCAGATACTTTTCCTGTCAGGACCAGAATCAGATAACACCCACACCCACCACCAACCTCTAGCACCCTCTATGGCTCCCTACTGCCCCTGGGATAGAGGCCAGCCTCCCCTAAGTGTGGCCAGTGAGGGGCCACCTGTCCCCCGCTGCCTGACGCAGCCTTACGTCATTACTTCCTGCCACCGGGGTTCTCTTAGCCCAAATTTCTTTCAGTTCCCCACATAAGCCACACACGCGCGCCTCCGCGCGCACACATACATACACACACACACACACACACACACGCACACACACACCCATCAGAGCCCCTGCACGTGCTGTGCCCTCTTGCCACCCTCTGACTCCCAGCTCAGGCATCGCCTCCTCCAGGAAGCCTTCCCTGACACCCTTCCAGCTACTATTGTGTCCCTCCTCAGTCCCCGATCCTCCTTTGGCTAACAGCCCTGAGTTATGGAAATCTATCACCTGGCCTCTCCCACCAGACAATGGCATCCTGGAGGCTGCAGGCCTGGTCCCATGTGTCTCCTGTCCCACCCAGCACCTGGCTGTCCTCAGGGAGGCCCGGGCAGCATCCCCCTTCTGAGCCCCCCTCCCTGGGGTTTGTCTCCCGCGGTCCCTGGATTTCCACAGGAAGCGCGCTGGCCGTCCCAGCCCGGGCCCCAGTCCTCTTCCACCCACGGCCCAGGCCCTCGGCAGTGTCGTCAGGAAGCCGAGACCCGCAGTCCACCTCCCGCCCAGCACCGCCCCAGCCCAAGCTCTCAGTTCCCCTGGGACTTGACTGAGGCCCTCTGCCTCCCCCAGACCTGTCCCGCCTTCCCACCTGCGGGGACCCACCCCCTCGGAGTCACAGTCCCGATGCCGCCCCTCCCTCTCCCACTCACATCCAGCCTGTCGGCAGCTCTGCCCACCCCACCCTCACGTGGGCCAGCACTCGCTCTTCCCACCGAAACCCACGGCCTCGGCCTCCTCACCTGCTGCCTGCCTCGCCCTCCTCCCCAGCCTCCCCGCTCTGTTCTGCCCCCACCCAAGTCTGTCTTCAACATAGCCCCGAGGGACCCCAGAAAAGCAGCCGGGCCTTTCCTGCCCTGCTCCCTGGCAAACTTCTGCCACCCAGCAGCCATCAGAGTGGAGCTCTCTCGAGTTTGGAGCGAGGGCCAAGATGGAGGGGACGTCCGTCTGCTGATGACACTAGTGAGCCTAGCAAAGGGCACGAGCGGAGGGAGGGGGAGGGAAGGGAGGTCCCGGTCCAGAGGGGCAGGAGAGGGCACGTGCGGCTGGCGCAGAGCGATGGGCAGTTTCCTCTGAGCTGAGGGCTGCATCGGATTTGTTTAAGGAAGGGACCCTGACAATGGGTAAAACTTCACAGGCTGCGGGAAACAAAGGGACTCGCAGCCTGCTGGGGCAGGGGAGGGGTGGCTGGGGACCATCTGCTGCAGCGCGGGGAGATGTGGGGCCGCTGCCACCCCCTCCCGCCCACAGGGGACTAGGGAAGAGAAAGGCTTCCTGAGAACACAAAACCCCCTCCCCAGCCCACCCTCGCCCAGGACAAAGGCCGCACACGAGCCCCAGCCCCGCCACCAGGCCCACCTGCCACCCGACTGCCCTTAACCAGCTGGGCAGGCGCCAGCGCCAGAGTTAACCCGCTCAGGCCCTGTTCAGACACCCCTGTCCCGTGCAGATGGGGAAACTGAGGGCCAAAAGAGGGAGGGCCTTGGCCAAGGTCACAAAGAGAAA